GATTGTATATAAAAACATGAATATCCATTTCATACTATTTGTTTTTTTATGTATGTAACAAATTCCACACATTGCTTTCAAAATTGTCTTGCTCGTCTGTGATTCCTCCTGTTCTTTTCTGTGCATTTTAAAAAATGTTGCAATAGCTCCTTTTTTTTTTCTGGCATACTCCTAATCTCCCTTCCTCACCACCCCACATCCCTCTACTAAAAAAAGAAAGAAAGAAAGAAAAGAAAAACTTGGAACAATCAAAATGAATCCATAGTGTTCACGTCCACAAATGTATGTCTCTTTCTGCACCTTGAATCCATCACTTTTATGCTCTGTGCTAAGTTTCAATTGTACTGGCACTTCTTCTTTTTAAATTACATCCCTGCACAGTACATAAAGGATGTAGGAAGCTCCAAGCGACATCTCTTCTCCATCTGTAGGACATCATAAATCCTACAACTTCCTTTGTCATTCCATTGGAGACATTTTGATTTTAGGCTTTCTCATTCTATTTAAGAAATTTATATTTATAGCTGAATGAGAGTTTCCTGGAGTATAATTCTTTTGGATTTGACATATTATTAATTCTAATGGCTATGTTTCAGCAAATGAATCATTGGCACTTTTTACTATATATGTATGTGTCTGTGTATATATACCACACGTATATGTGTATGTATATACGTATGTATTTTCCTCCCCCAACCAAATTTCAGTAAAAGCACCTGGCAAGAAACAGCTTGGCCCAGTCAGACCTTGCAGTCAAGGAGACATGGGCTCAAGTTCTAAATCTGCCTCATGCTGGTTATGTGACCCTAGACCAGTTTCTTCATCATTTACTGCCTCCAGATAACTATAAGGTTGTTGACCTGCATTGGTAGAGGAAGTTTTAATCCAGGGAGGTCTCTATACTGATTAAATCACAGGTTCAGAGGAGAAAAAAGAGTATCTAGCACTATAAAATTAAAGATTACACCCCCCACTTTTTCAACTCAACTTTTAAATTTGTTGAACACAACTTACCACTTTGCCCTAGTTAAATCATAGCTGTCCCACATTCTGATGCTGCCCTGATTTCTTGAAGCACTTTGTGACAGAGTGTCAATAGCTCTTCTGGCCCATATGTGAATTATTTCTTGGCTCCTATACCCTAAAGTAGACAGTGCCATTTACCAAGCTGTTTGTCTGATGAAATCTGAAGCATGGGCAACAGCTACTCATAGTCATGGGCAGGGCTGGTCTTAGATGGAAAGCAGAGTAACAGCTGGTATTTATATATCAAATATTTATTTATATATATGTTTACAATGCGTTTCTATATACTTTCAGGCATTTCATTTGAGCCGCACAAAAGCTGGGTGAGGCAAATAGTACAAGTGTTGTCTTCATTTTGAAGGTGAGGAAGCAGGCTCAAGGAGTTTAAATGACTTCTTCAAGCCCACACAATTAGTAACTGTTGAAATGGGATTTGATCTGAGGCCCAAATCCCTGACTAGGGCTCTTTCTACTGTGGTATGATGGTATGAACATTGACCAGGATTGTTGTTCGAAAAAATCTCCCTTACCCAGTGTCATGGTGCTTGAAATTCTAATGTTTCAGCTTCTCATTCTTTTGGATTTGTAAGAATTTCTTATTTAAATGCAAATATGGGGATCAGAGTGGCATTAGTGACAGTCAGCTGCGAGCAAGACAGAAGTGTAGATATGAGATGTGTCCCAGGAGGGTACATCGGAAGGAAAGTTCTAAGCACCAGAGGCAAGGGTCACCTACTACACAATTTTGTTCACTGCTGGTTCTGTTCTTGCCTTTCTTTGTAAATAGCAACGACAGTGGACCAACCTTACACTTTCTCTGAGAGTCTAAAATGGCAACCACTTTTTATTAGCCCTAAAGCACTAGTCTCCTTCACCCTCATCCTTTTCTTTTCCTCACTCTCTTCAGGCTAGTGGTGGTGATGGAAACAGAGTCCCCTTTAGAGCCACTGTCATGGGGCAGTTACCCATGGATAATAATAGTCTAACCCAGGGGTGAGAAACCTGGGACCTCAAGGCCACAAGTGGCCTTGTAGATCTTTAAGTGCAGCCTTTTGACCAAAATGTGGCCTCAAGGCTGCAGGTTCCCCACCCTGGAACCATTCTTCTTCCTCTAAGCACAAAAGAGTTGGGACATTTTTATAGGCTACAAATCCAAACGCTCTTGCTTCAGGCTGTCTTTTGCTTGTGTTTCCAGGTGAAGATTGTCCTCCTTTGTTTTGCAGTACCCCCCCCACAACAGAAGAAGCCAAACTTTATTTTATTTATTTTCCCACTTGATAGTATTAAATTTTTCCCAATTACATGTAAAGATAGTTTTCGACATTCACTTTTACAAGATTTTGAGTTCCAAAATGTTCTCTCCCTCTCTCCCCTCCCCTGTCCCCAAGATGGCACGCAATCTGATACAGGTTATATGTGCACAATCATATTACACATATTTCCACATTAGTCATGTTGGGAAAGAAGAATCAGAACAAAAGGGAAAAACCAGAAGAAAGAAAAAAAGAGAGAAAACAGTAGGAAGCCAAGATTTATTAAGGGCCTACTTCCTATAGGATAGGGAGATTTGGTGGGGGAGGGGAAGTTCCTGACCTCAAAGAGCTTATATTCTACTGGCAGCCACACGTTTTAAACAGATTACTGAATACAGTATAATCTGAGGTAAGAGATGGAGAGAGACAGAGAGACAGAGACAGAGAGAAGGTACAAGAACTACCAACACGGGAATCCATAAAGGCTTCCCATAGAACCACAGGAGGTGGTCTTGCCATGACTTGACATGTCAGACTTGACATGAAGCCTGAAGGAAAATAAGGATTCTAAGAGGCACTTATGCCTTCTAAGAGGCATAAGTGAGGAGCACATCCCAGAGTGCTTCAGCGGCCTGTGCAACAGCAGGGGAGCCTGAGATGGAAACAGCAAGTCTGCCAGCTGGACTGGAACCTAAGCAGGTGAAACAGCTCTGCAGCAACGGGAAAGAAGTCGAGAAAGGTAGTCCAGAACCACAGTGTGAAGGGCCGAACAGTTTGCATTGCAGTTCTTAACCTATCTTTGTATCGTGGACCATTGTGACAGGGGTGTGTCCTCTAGGCAGCAGGGATACCAAAGCCTATAAAGCACTCGATGTCTATCTATCATTCAAAGCTGTAAGCATTCTGTGTGTGTGTGTACTGCAAAAGCCTATAAGCACTATATATGTGTGTGACATGAAGCCTATAGGCACTCTATACACACACACATATACGGGGGCAAAGCCCCTACACACTATATACGTATGTGAGGTGCAAAGCCTATAGGCTCCACACATATACACATCCTATAGGCAACAGAAATGCAAAAGCTATAGGATAGCTAGATAGATATAGATATATGTCTGTGTCTGTGTGTGTGTGTCTAAACATAAAAACAGGGCTTGAAGTCCCTGTTGCCTATGGGATGTGTGCTGTTTATGTGTAGAAAAATATTGCCTACAGGCTTGGCACCCGTTACCTATAGGATATGTGTGTGTGGATGGACAGGTAGAGATAGAAAGATAGATAGATAGATAGACAAACAGATAGACGGAGATTGCCTATAGGCTTCGTCTATAGACCCCTTCTCAGAAGAATGTTTAAAATGTAAGAAACAAAGTAGATAGGATTATAAAGGAAACCAACTATATTGAAATAAAAGATGCAATTTTTTTCCCATCCAAGTTCACAGACGCCCTTAAATCTAACCCAGGTTAGGGACCCTTGTCCTCAAGACAATAGGGAGCCACTGATGATTCTTGACCCAGAGAGTGACTTGGTCAGACCTGTACCTTAGGAAGATATTTTCACAATTCTGTGAAGGATGGTTTGGAGGAGGGAATGACATTTCAGTGGTCCTAGGGAGAGGGGCTGGTGATCAGAGCAAGGATCATCTCTAGCGGGTGGAGAGAAGGGGATGATACGAAGGGCGAAATAAGAAGACAAAGGACCGCAGATTTGGATTGGAAAGATCTGGTGTAACCACTTCACTTTACAGAGAGGGGAACTGAGGCTCGGTGACTCGACCAGGGGCAGAGGCAGGGGGGCTTCGATGCGAAGCCGCCCCTTCCCACGGGACCACGCCGAAGACGAGGGATTAGACGCTGGGCGGGCGGGTGAGGAAGCGAGAACAGTCTGGAAGCTCTCCCAGCGCGAGCTCCCCAGCTGCAGGACGGCCTCGCCCTCGGCACAGCCCGGGAAGGGTGGACGAGGGGCCAGTGCAGGCGGTAAGGTGACTCTAGCTCCTAAGCTGGTCCTCCAGGTGGAGGGGGCCAGCGAGGAGCGGGCCATTTGGTGGACGGAGGACTTGAGTTCGAGTTCCACCCTCTGACCCTTCTTGCTTGTGTAACCTTCGGCTACTCGCTTAACCTCAGGGTCTTTATCTGTCAAATGGGGGTGGAGGATTAAGACTAGATGGTCTAGAGATCCCAGCCCTAGGAGCCTCTAATGAAAGCCAGCGGGTCAAGTGAGAGAGGTTAGGGCTGGAATGGTACTAGCAGGAAGGCCTGGAGTGGGGAACGGAGGAGGTCCTCAGGACTCTCTCTCCTTTACTGGGAGGGGCCGACTCCCGGGCCCCGCCCCCGCCCCACCCAGGCCTGCGGGGCGCTCCGTTTCCCCAGCAAAGGCTCCCGCCCCTTCCGCCCCGCTCATTGGCCAGCTCCCGCGCCTGCTCTGCCTTCTGACTGGGGGGCGCCGGCTGTCAGTCTAGAGCTGCCGGAACATTTCCGCATTGAGGTGGGGGTGCGGGGGAGGGGCGCACGGAGGGGGAGGGGAGCCCATCGGGGGGTACTGGGGGGACGGGACTGGGGTGTGTGGAGAGTTCCGGAGATGGGGGAGTGGAAACGGGGGGACAGGGTGGTCGCCAAAGTAGCTGCTTAGCCGAAATTCGGGGCGGGTGGTGGCGCTTGCTCCGCGGAGCCTGGCTTGGGGGGCGGGGGGAGGAGGAGGAGGAGGAAGAGAAAGAAGAAGAGGAGGGCGCCTCCGAGGGGACACGTCCTCTCTGCCGGTGCAGAGCCTTCTCCCTGGGGCACCGTCGACGTGCCCTAGCCCGGAGGCCTGAGGAGTGGAGGAAGGTGGGTCTGGGCGGCCGCGCCCAGGAGGGGCGAAGAAGAAAGAGGGTTTGTAGTTGGAGACCCTCCCTCCCGCCCGACTCTGGCGCTGGCCTGGGCTTCTCCCCGGGGGCTGGAAACTGGGGATGGGGAGGAGAAGAGGCTGCTCCTTCTCTCCTCTCTCCTCCCCGCGTCCTTCCCTTGCCGGGGTAGGGGGATGACCACTCTCTCTAGCGCTCACGTGGGCTTCTCGTGCACCCCTTCCCGTGGAGGGGCGGGGGAGAGGCCCGGGCCCGCCGCTGCCGCAGCTGGAAGGGAGGGGGCCGCCCGAATTACGCGCGGGGCTTGTGAGCCGGGGAGATGCCCTGGACGTGCCTTCACGCCCCCTTCCCCCACCCGGGCTTGGGGAGGGGGCTGAGAGTGCGATGTTTACCGGAGGGTTTCCCGGGGAACCTGCCTATTGGCCGGAGGCTGGAGAGGGAGGAGGTGGAGGAAGGCGCCGTCGGTCCTGCTGCAATCCCACCCTCGGGGGGTGGGGGGGACAAGGGGGCGGTGAAGCAGCCGCAGATCCGCCTCTTTCATTGATGAAATTTAAATTCGAGGGATTTTACCTTTAACTTGGGTCTCCAGCTGGCTTTCGTTTAGGTCTGGAGCGCTCTGTAAGGCTGGCCTGGGCCAAAGCGGACTCCATCCACTAAGACTTGCCTTTTTTTTTTTTTTAAAGTGGAAAAGGAGTAATCCCCCCCCGTGTACTTTTTTTTTTTTTAAAGAACTACTTTTTATTGCTTTGAATTGATATTCCTCCAAGTTGTCAACTGTGGGTGAAAGGACCACGTCGAGTTATTAAGCAAGAGAAGAAGAAAAACCTGCCCTAGAGTGTGACTTGTTGAAAAAAAATTTTATATATATATATATACACATAATTATATTTATACTACAGAGTATTTATTTTATTAAACCCCTAAAATGTCGATATTTGTACAAGGTAAGACGTTCCTTATTTCCTGAATTGCTTTAACTGTGCTTGCTGGTAGCCCTTGCAGTTGGGAGGTTGGTGGGCGATTTGGAAGTGGAAATAACTCCTTTAAATTACCTTTTGCAAAATTCTTGTCAAGCTGAGCAAATGGATCGGCCTTACCAACGAATATAATGTATGCATCTCTCCCTTTTCCTAGTGTTTCCTAATTTCCCTTGAAATCAGGTTAGCAGCACTTGTGGGTGGTATGGGACGGTGGCTGTTGTTAGGATAAAATAACATTTTAACGACTGGAGCTGCTGCTGTTTAACTCCATTCCTAAGAACGGGGTGTGGAAGGGAACCAGGAAAAGGACCTGGGAGAGATGACAGGAGTCAGGTGGATTTTGATAAGGACTGTTGGTTAAGGTTTAGCAGTGTCAGTTTCCACTCCGAGTGTCTACGTGGTTTGAGTTTCAGATTCGTTTATTGCGAAAGAGGGACTAGCCCATAGAAGCTGGAGGTCATTTCAGCCGGAGAAATGACTTTGCTGCATTGCTGTGATATTTTTCTCCTTTGAAACATGAAAAGATTAATTAAAATTTCTTTAAACTTTGAAGATCTCCCCCATTGTTGTAGGTTGCTTAGAAAGAGATCCTTCAACAAAACATAGCCTTGTAATCAATGCTTTGGGGAGGTGTGTAGTATAGGAATTAAAATTAGAGTTGTCTTTAAAAAGGATTGCTGGGCTGTTGTGCTTAGTTTGCCACACTTTTTGCATGCAAGTTAAATATACTCTTTATTTGCAGACCTCTGAATGTGAAAGTTGTGGCCAGTTTTTTTGCAGACTTCAACGGCCATAAAGTTCACAACTTCACAAGCTTCACATGGCATCCCAAATAAACAGAGATGCTCCAAAAAGGAAAAAAGAGCTATTAGTAATGGTTACCTTGTTGGAAAGTGATGTAATTTTCACACCCAAGAATATCAGAGCCTAATGAAATTTCACATCACGTTGTTAATTCAGCTATTTAAAACATTTTAGATTTAAGAAATATTTTAAGATAGAAATTAGTCTCACTATTATTGAAACATGGGATGCTTTAACCAGCTGACTGTTTTCAGTACTAAGCCCAGAAATGTCACATGTAATTAAATTTCCACAACCATATTTTACCTTGTTAATGGTGAAAGATCCCTGTATTGTGATTTGAGACCGGAGTAAAATGACTATAATGTATCTTCCCAGAATAGAATGTCAAATTTAACTCCTCGTAGTTGTTTTCTGTCTTTGATCTTAAATAGGAGAGGAGAGGGAACAAGCATTTATATGGGACCTACTATGTGCCAGGCACTGTGCTAAGACCTTGTGACAACTCTGAGAAGTAGGTGCTATTATTATCCCCATTTTACAGTTGAAACTGAAGTAGATAGGTTGAGTGACTTGCCAGGGGGTCACACAGCTATTAAGTGTCAACAAAGCCATTATTTTTATAAGTCCCAGAAGGAAAATTAAGTCATTTGAATAATTTTGAAAGTTTACTACATGCCAGGGACTGTATACTAAGCATTGAAGTTACAAAAGCAAAAATAGCCCCTGCCCTCAAGAAGTTAACATTTTAAGGGAAGGGGGGAAAAATAACATGGTTTATACAGAAATAGGTAGAGGAAATCTCTCAAGGGGAAGGCAGGAAAGGAGAGAGAAGAGTACTGGGACTAAGAGGGAGACAGTAAGAGGCCTCCTGGGATTTGATCTGAGTCTTGAAGGAAGCCAGGGAAGCAGATAGTGTGGCGAAGGTCTATAAGGGACAGCAGGGAAAAGGAACAGTAATGGCAGATGAGGTGTCCTCTGCAAGGAATAGCAAGTAGGCTGTAGATGTCTCTGCATCACTCAGTACATGTATGGAGGGGAATAAAGTGTAAGAATGCCAAAAAGATAGGAAAGAGTCCCTTTATGAAGCACTTTAAATGCCAAACAGAGGAGTTGATATTTGATTCTGGAGGTGATAAGGGGCTATTGGCACTCCTGGAGCTAGGAGGGTGACATAGTGAGACTTGTGCTTTAGGAAAATCATCTTGGCTGCTGAATGGAAGATGAATTACAGTGAGGAGAGACATGAGGCAAGGAGACCAATTAGAAAACCTTTGCATTAGTCCAGGTGAGAAGTGGTCAGGGCTTGAAGTCTCTTAAATAGGAATGATAATTCTATTGGACTTTGTATGGTTTCAAAAGTACTTTCCCTACAAGTATGAGGTAGGTAGTACAAATATCATTAATCCTCATTTTGCAGATGAGGAAACAAAAGCTTGGGTTAAGTCACTTGCACCTGATTATGCAACTAGTAATTATCTTTTCACCAGTGCTTTTTAAGGGCTATTTTTGGCCAAGTTCCCAAGGAGTGTTATTCACTAATTCATATATGTAATGGCTGTATAAATGTGCCTGGTGGGCTCCAAAACAAGTTCCAGTTCTACAGCAGGTAATGTGTGTATATGAGATAGATGTCTCCATTTCATTGCTTCTTTCCTTTAGCTTATTTTTTCTTGTTTAGGAGTGATTTCTCAGAAGTTGACAACTTATCATTCTGCACAAAAGGTGACATTTAAAATTTATCACTGGGCTCAAATTTCGTATGTCAAAAGCAAATCCACTGTAAATTCCATCAATAGAGTTCATTAGTGATTTCACTCCACAGTTGGATTTTTTTTTAGCTAAAACAAGGATGTAATTTTGTTGTGTTTCTTTTTTTCTTTTTTGTATGTCCCCCAAACCAACTGATTTTGAGCTTATGTAACACTGTCTTTATTATTAAGTTGTCCCTAGTATATGCTACCGTAAGCTTCATCATTATTTCTTTTTGTTTATTCTTTGTCTCCCAGCACTTTCACAACTTATTGCTAAATGAATATTGATGATAAAAACAACCCGGTTAATGCTTAGGAATCAAATAGCATTTTAAAATTAGGAAATTATCAAATGTGGCTTAGAAACTTTATAAATTGTAGGACTTAACAGATTATCTAAGGTTAATATACTAATGTTAAATGCACAGGAGGGAATATAAATAAAATACATTCTGTACTTTTTCTTTGTTTTCAAAAATTGATAAACCTAAAGGAAATACACCAACTTGGCAGGAATTGATCCAAGAAAATATGTTCAGGTGACTGCTATTAGGATTTCGAGAAGGGGGATGATAAGTTCCAGTTGCTGGTTTGTTTGTTTTTTTCATTGAAAAAGAAAAATCTGTAGTCTACTTTTTTCTTCTTAGGTGATTTCTGAGTCTTCCTACATTGTCTGCCAAGTCTTCTTTAAGTATTGAGCTAGAGATTCATGGAAAAGATTGGACACATTAAGTTAGAGTTTATCGAATAATAGTGATACTTTCATTATAATGTTGGTGATTGATTTCCAAGTATTAATTGATTTTGAAAATTTCCATATTTACTCTTATTTGTAACAATAACGTTTGGTATTACAAAATTTGAAAAATTCCACCAACACTTGCCCCTCACTTTTGTTAGGAATGAAGAAACGTTGGAGATCATCTTTAGCAGTAGTATTATAGAATATTGATTTCTCCACTAAATTGCTACTCTGCTGACTCATAAAACTGAGTTCTCCAAAACTTTGCCAGTGGAACTCTTGCAGATGTTGCCAAACTGGAAAGTATTCAAATGGAACTCTGGTGGGAGATAGTATGTGTGTTGTCTGAGGACCAGCGTAGCCAAGTTTATAGAGATCATCACCATATTGACTTCAGGGTGATGAATTTTTCAGTCATGGTGACTCAAAGACAGTCTAAGTTGTAAAGACATTTAAGGTAAGTGTTACTGAAGAGAGTAGTCACACTGATGAAATCCAGGTCATTGGTATGTTAGTTCTTCTTATTGTTTTTATAGTATGTTCACAGTTTACAAAACACTTTTTTATAACCCTGCGAGATAAGTGTAGGCATTACCACCATTTTACAGATGAGGAAACTGAAGGTTAAATCTATTATGTGCTTTTTTGCTTATAATAGATGCTAACTATCTTCAGTTCAGCACTATATCAGTAAAAGAAGCAGTAGAAATGTAACTTCTTGGTTGTTTTCTATAAAAATCTATAAGAAAATAACTTTTTCTAGTCAAATTATTTATTGATGCATAAATATCACCACAGTCATTACAAAACATGATATAGATAAGCCGGTTACTTTATTATGAAAACTAGCCGAAACTTTGAAACGTTATCATTGTTGAAAGTTGGTTAGGTTCTGAAACCTTAAACTAGAGGAGGTCCGTGACCATAGAAGTCAGTGTCTTGTATAATATGATTTTAGGACCAGAACTGCTCTGTGTTTTCCTCAATTGGAGACAACTTCTTATATATCTTGGTTCATGAAGTCAGTAATTCTTAATTATCAAAAGCTTATGTCAGCAGACCTCAGACTCTGGCAGGTCCTCCTAAGTTGGAAAGACTTTGATTATGGGCCTAACCTGGCGGAGTTAGAAAGAGCTCATTCCTAGAAGGTTGGTCACAAGGGCTGAATTCTTCTGGCTACCCGTGTAACATGGCATGGATAAGATTGTAGTTTAAATTGT